GAAACTACTCAAGTTATTGAAAAAAATCACAAATTCATTCCCATCCCTCCACACTCTATCAAAGTGCTATGAGATAGTGAAAATAAAATTTAACACCTAAAACTCTTAGACATAGTAAGAAATAAAAACAATTAATTGTAGTTACCCAAGTCAGATGTACAACTAAAGAAGCAACTTAAGAATTAAACCAGTGCTCACTGCCTGGCTGATGAACTAACAAGTGTATGTGGAGTGCTACATGAGGAACAAGTTTTCCACTAACACTCTATTCTGGCCCAGTGAACAGAACTGGATAGTAACCCTTGCTACAACTATTTAAAAAAAAAAAAACGAAAGAAAAGAAAAGAAAAAATTAAATCAATGAAATATTAGCAACATGAATAGGTCTGTGTGTATTTCACATAAATACATAGTAAAAATAAAAAGGACACTAATTTGTGAATAAAATATTTACTTTAAAAGACTATCTATAGACATGTACTGGTATATCTGTATCAGAAGAATTATGAAAGAGAACAAGAGGAATTTGAAGCATTTTATAATCACACAAAAAGTGCTAATTATTTTTTAACTAATTAAAAAAAACTCTACAAATGAATCCAAAGTTACAAGTTATCTGGTACATTTATTATATATACTCAAAATAAAAAGTATAGGATTATTCTTAATATAAAAAGGTGACCAGCTGTAGAGAAAGAAGCTTATGTGAGAAAATAGAAAGGATGCCTATTAAACTAGGGTGGGTATAAGAAAAAAATCCCTGCCTCTGTTTCCCAATTATATGCTTCCCCTTGTGTTTTAAAGAGCACACATTCCAAAAGAATGTAGAGTTCATGTACCTAATTTTATTTCCAACTAAAATAAGTCATTCCTCTTCCTCTGAAGAGAAAAAAATTAAGTGAATTAAAAATTTAAAAATAGACAATTACTATGAGTTACCAATTCTTAACTGATGAAATATAAATAACTGGGAGTTTGTTTTGTGTGAGGTTAGTATATAAAAGATATGGAAAAGTTTGACTCCACAATACCTACTATGTTTACAATCTTTTCTGCCCATGGTTTCTGGGTTTATCTTGTCCTCATTTTTAATTCTACACACAAAATCAAAGTTTATCTCCATCTAAAAATATATTATCAAATACAGTGGAAGATATGATCCCAGGCTTAAGGTTAAGGAGTTCATAATACAGGCTAAAAGATGCTAGAATCAATCAATCAATCTATCTACCATCTACCTACCCACCTGTCCATCCGTCCATTTGTCCATCCATACACACATCAAGGTAGCATGTAAGGCAACATACAAAACATAACATGTAAGTAGATACACATTCCTCTAAGAGTTCCAACACAGAAAAGACTGATACATATATTGAAGAGATAGAGAAGACAAAGTTTAAGAGAAGTGGTGGGATTTGAGCTGGGCTTTAAGGCATGGGTAGAATTCAAATAAGCAAGGAAGCATAGAGAACATTCCAGATTATACCAACAAAAGGTTTGAATAGGAATTAGTAGGAAAACATGCAGCAGAAAGTTCAGAGTCAAACAATCAAAAAAAGAAAAAGGCAGCGTTTAGAGGAGGCTTTGTCTTTCATCTTTTTTCTACCTCTAATATATCCATGAGGTATGACATCCACCTATTAACAGCGCAGAGAGCCCTATGTGAAGATAGAAGACAGATAAGAAAGAGCTTGAAGATGAAAAGAGGATATGAGACAACTGTAGGGTACAGAATGGTGAAATTATTCAGAGCATTTACTGAACACATACCAGGCACCAATCTGGTAATGAAGAACATTATCTGAATTATCTCATTTTATGTTTGTATCACCTTTGAAGTGTTTGGTATTTTTATTATGCTACAGAAGAGAAAGCTAAAGTTGTAGTGTGGTTAAATTACTTAGGATCACACATCTAGGAAGTGGCAGAGCCAGGAACTAAATACAAGTTTGTCTGTTACTAAACTGTTAATAAAAACCTCTATGCAAAATGAAGAAAAGAGCTGGGAGTGTACTCAAGTGGTAGAGGACTTGTCTAGCAAGCACAAGACCCTGAGTTCAAACCCCTGTACTGCCAAAAACAAACAACAGCAACAATAACAAACAAAGAAGATGACAATACTGTATAAGAATGAATTCCTACATATTTGTTGACTAGTCAGAAGTAAAATATTAGTTAGATTGTACATAGACAGTTTAAGACAGGAAAGAATATGGGTCTGCCTTCTGCTCTTACAATGAAAAAAGCTCAAACTATAAGCATTTGAGATAAAATAGCCTTTCACAACTTTTTTCTTTAGAATTTGATCACTTTGGGCCCAATTTTTCCATAGAACTTGACAAACTAATAGTGTATCTCATAAAAGCTACCAATCATCATTTACTAAAGTAAAATTTGAAGTCATCTTAGGAAAAAAAATCTTGAACTTAAAGCTTTCAAGATGTGAGTTCATGGGACTATACACAGAAAAGAAAATTGGGAAATTATAAAAGTTAAAAAGTAGATATTCTACTTTAACTGAATTAGAAAGACTATATAAATACAAAACAGAAAACTCATCTGGGGTGTATCTTGGTGGTAGAATGTGTGTTTAGTATGCACAAGACCCTGGGTTGAATTCCCAGTATCAAAACAAAAATAAAACAAACCAATAAACCTAAGCCTTTTGGTTTTAAGGGTTTGGTTTCTGTGCTTGAGATACAAGCTCATGTAATCACTATTTGTGACTTTATTAATATGGAAAAAAGCAAGCACATGCAGAAAACCCAAGTCTGGATTAAGCAGATACTCAATGACAGGCCAAAATGTCTTTACTTTCTTCCGTAATGCCTTCATTTTGCCATTTCTTGTTAGTACCTCCATTAGAAAGTAAAGTCAGAAAGAAGCGGTGAAGTACTTTTTAGATTCTGCTATTAATTAATAGCTCTACCTGCCTTTTGTCAGAAAAATCAGGAAATAAGTACTTAGAGTTGGAATTATTTACAAATTTTAATTATCCATGTCAGTTCTAGTCTTTTGCTGCATTACCAAAGGAAAAATCAGTTAATTCAACAGATAATAGAATCTACAATGTTACTACTTGTGCTTCAGAAAATTGAAAATGATCACAAAAGTGTAGTGTTTCAATTACTTGTAGGTATCAATTATCATTATTCTTCACATAGCACTTAATTATCATTGATGATACAGAAATACCTGTATTGGGGTAATATGACTAATGAAACTACTAGCCCGAAGCTTTAATTAATCCGCTGCTACTTTTCAATAAATTTATTTTCACTCATTACTACCTGACTTGCACTAAGCAAGCTCCAAGATGTTTTATACTTATATCACCTTATGCAGAAAAATTCAACAATTTGGACTTCCAGTGTCAATCACACATTTTAGATTTCATGAAGTACAGGGTTATCTTACTCTCGCAGCTAAGTAAGAACAAGTACATCACTAAGAAATTCCAACAATAAAACTTCTATAACTATTAAGAAACTAAAATTCAAGGATACCCACTTAGCCTGAAAGATGTAACGTAAATTTTAGTGCTCTTCTAAACTGGCTATTTAAATCTCCACTGTCAAAAGATGCAGTAGGGAAAAACCAACAGGAAGATGTACTCAAATAAATCTATCATAAGAACCTATGTACTTGAAAACAGTAACTGGTTAAATTTAAACTGTCCAAGATTATATTAGTAACAATGTTTCTTCAGATTGATTATAGACTTTTGTCTTTCATTCTCAAATTATTTCCAGTAATAACTGCTTAAAGTGAATGACACATTTACATTGCTTAAGAAGCTTTTAGTGAGGCAGATGCCTGGTGGCTCATGTCTATAATCCTAGCTACTTGGGAGGCTGAGATCAGGAGGATTGCAGTTACAGGCCAGTCCAGGCAAATAGTTTGTGAGACCCCATCTTCAAAATAACCACAACAAAACAGAATGGAGGTGTAACTCAAGCGTTAGTGCACCTGCTTTGCAAGCATGAAGACTTGACCTTAAAACACAGTCCCACCAAAAAAAAAAAGCAGCTTTTAAATTGCACAAAAATAATGAAATTCAAGTAACTTACCCTCCCATACCTAATTTCACTACCAGAAAGAGAAATATATTGGTGATGATCTCTTCACTTTCATATCACTTTTAGGAAATTCCAATAAATACAATAAATGTCGTCATCCAGTCAGAGAATCAACTGCCAATAAATCTCTTGGGCTAGCGGAATGGCTCAAGCTATAAGAGCACTTGCCTAACAAGCATGAGGCCCTGAGCAAACCCAGTACTGCGATAGACAGACAGATAGATGATAGATAAACTGATTGACAGATAGATAGATAATAACAGTTAAAAACAATGTTTTTCCTGTTTGAAACATTCATTTTGTCTCATTTCTCATATAAAAGCAGGTTTTATTATTTTTTCTACTTGTAAAATGAAACTATTTAACACAGCACTTAGTGAAAATGAATTAAATCTCTTTATGTCAAAGTTTAAGATACCCTATTAAACAATTCATAAAATGTTATTTTAAATTGTTCTATATAATCTCCCACCATACCAGTAGTATGAAAAACAGCCTTTGAAATAGTAGCTCTTCTAGGTAACAAAATCTTATACGCATGTATGGGAAAGCAATTTCAGTTTTCATGATGATGATGATTATGGTAAGATGATCTCATTCAATTTAATTTTATTAGTGTAATAATATTCACATCAAAAGTCATTCAAAGTTACCTTTAATGATATATGCAGGTAAATATCATTAGAATACTTTCCAAACTAGAAATCTACATTGAAAAATATTGCTTTCTCATTGCAATATAATCTTTCAAGGCCATAATTAAAAGTAAGAACAATTACTTTATAAAAATAGATATTTATATCACAGAAATATTATGTATTCCCTAGATCTAATGCCATATTCATCAAAATAGTAAATATACTTAAACTGAATATTTCTAAGCCAGAAATAGTATAGTGTATTTTATACTTCACTTACCTGAACCTCGCTTGTCCTCTGTTTAATAGCATCTTCCTTCTCCTTAAGGTCCTGTTCCACATTATTCTTTTCCCTGGAAGACCAGCAAACAATGCAAGAATATTTGAGAACATCAGCTACAGCTGGTATGGTTATCCATCCTCCTAATCCTGAATCGCTTTTTAAATACATAGTGAAACATTCAATTTTTAAATGAAGGGCAGATTTTTCTACCCTCCTTAAATTATTTATGGAATAGGAATCAATATAAGCTGTTTATAAAAAAATTGCTTCCTCACTAAAATGTGGTGAGAAGAGAACAGATTAAAAAAGGAAGAAGAGAAAAATAATCAATGAAACACTCAGGTTTCACTGATCTCACTGTTGCTATGGGAATACTGTCCAATGAAAACTGCTGCTGAAGAAAAGGAGGAGTTGCATCAGCTCTGTAAGCTTAACCCTTCAGTATCACTGCCAAATCAAATGAAAATGGCTATAGAAACAGTGACAATATTAAAGGAAAAGGCCATTTGCTGAACTGTGAATTTCCCCTTAAATCATCAGTGTGTATCAATTTTAGAATGCAACAACATAGAGAAAATGGAAAAGATTGTTCATATATAGGTAATTTGCCCTGTGAAATACCACATCTCCTCAAAAAAGCTATTTTGGGACCATCTATCAAACTCGATCGAATATCTAAAACAATGTATACCATGTAAAAAAACCAGTAGCATTTACCTCTTCTACTCTTAAATCAAACACACTAGTCTCTACGTTTATTTTGAAACACAAGTACCTAAATTCTTATGTAGTTTGATAATGTTATGAATGAGTCTCAAGAAACCTTAGAATTATGAAATAAAGGTATTTCTTTGGATGTAACAAATTTAACTGCCCATGTTTACCAAAATTAAATCTCTCTCTCTGTCTCACACACACACACACACACACACACACACACGCACACGTGCACACGCACATGCACACACACAGAGCTAATTCCCTTCCTTTTTTTTCTACAAAAAGAAAAAGACCATAGAAATTTGCTGTAACACTTTCAGGTGAAGGGGTGGCAGGGGCAACATGGAGAGGGGAAGATAGCATTTAAGCGACTTGTATGGGAGAGTTCTCATTAGAGCTTCGTAACTCTATTTCAATTTCTATTCTAGACAAGCCCAAATGTAATCTCAGGCTCCATTTAGCTCTAGCATAGCAGACAGTGAGAAAATTATACCAAAAGAGACACGTAAGGAACAAACTGCATGCTTCATTTATATTTCTCATCTTTTTGAAGTGAGATTTTAAATGCAGACAAAAATCAACTATTTGTTATGGGTATGTAGACACAATGATCTTAAGATTTGTATGGAAGGAAAATAGCACACTAATAAAACTATTTGTGTACTGTTACTTTTAAATACTTGAGATGGCCAAAGAGCTCACTAACCATTTGTCAGATGGGTCACAATGTGGGTCGAGATGTCCTGGAGATTTTAAACAGTCCCTTACCATGTGAATCATCGTTGCAACCTGTTCTTTCCATCTTTCAATCTAGTTATTATGCAAAGGCCATCCCCTACCTCCAACCCTTATCAAATTAGGTAAAATCAAAAAAGAGAAAAACATAAGGGCATAAATCTGAAAATATCACACAAATTGTGCAAGCTCAATCTTGGAAGTATTTTCTTTTCTCCTCATGTGAGCAGATGATGAATGTTTTCAGTCCTGCTGCAGTATGTCAGCGATAAGTCACATGAAAATCTAGTCCCCTCCCCTCACAAATCCTTAGAGGCATTCCACACAAGGTCAGTTCAGTTTCAGATGGTAGATAATAACAAAAATAGAGAACATTACACAGTATCATAAATCAGCATTGCACACAGATGTTGATATGCATCATTTCAATTTTTTCTGTTCTTCTATTAACTCCTGATACTGACAGTGTCTGCTCAATTCTTTCTGCTTTGCTGTTAACCCCTGTTATTGACAGTCCCTGCTCAGAAGATCAACAGTGCATGCAGGAAAATAAGGTTGCAAGAAGACAATGAGCTGACTTAAAGTAGCCAAACAGAAGAATGACAGAGCAAAGGAAGGAAGCTCACTTGGTAAAAAGGGAAAATGGATCACAAATGACTCTCAGCTGTAACCAGCACACACAGTCTATGTTTGAGTAAAACATAGGAAGCTTGAAGAGCACAAATGTCTGTTTGTAATTTAAGGTTTATGGGGGGCAGGAACAGTGGAGATCTCTCCAAACATATCCTGAAGACCATTACCAACTAAATAAAATATGGGAACCTTTAGGCATTATTTCTTCTTAATACAAAGATCAACTAGATTTAACTTTCAATTAATTTGTATCTCACAAAATTCTGGTCTCATAATAATTCCTTACATAATGAAAACCAAGTATCATAATATACATTGCTCAACAAAAAACTTTAAAAATTTAAATGCTTAGTTATATCACTTTCTATAAAACCATTATGACTGAAATCTGCCCTATAAATCAGACTGAAATCAAGTAATATTCTCATTGTCTTCAGATTATAATTTCAGAGATACCAAATTGTTATTCTGTTGTCTTGCAATGGCTCTCAGCCTCTATAACTATCCTCTTATTTCAGGCAAGTAGAAATATCTAAACATATACTTGGGCGCATAAAAGATGCTTGTCCATATAGCTTACATTCTCCCCTCTTTTGAACATGTATATTTTCCCAAAGATGATACATGTATAACCAACATTAATATTAATTAATTTTAAAACTTTTCAAGGGTCTATGTCACAATAAAAAGTGATATTTATATGCAGCATCCCAAAGAACTCACCAATATATGTTGTGGACAAGACATCAGTAAGATACATTTCAAAAAACAGATGTGTGAGCCTTTTGCCCAAACTACTACTTATCCTGCATGTCATGACAGGAAAAGCTATTGCCTTCATCTCAGTAATTTCCAGAAGAAGAGAGAGCTTATAATCCTCATCATCATCTACTTTAGATTATCTCTCTGGCCCATTATATTTATTGCACATCCTGAGGAATCCACAAGTACCGAAGTTATGCAGAGAGGCAGGCATAGAGTTTCCTGGTATTTCAAAGGCAAACAATTCTGATTCCATGTTTCCTAGTATATGAGCCATCAAGGAAAGCAAGGCTCAGGCTCACCTTTCAGAAGAGCATGGTGGTAACTGCATAAACCTAATATGAAGCAATGGAAACATATTCACAAGGACAGTCAGACTGAGGAGCCTGCAGTTCACTTCCATTATCCCAGGCTGTATTAAGAAGAGAGTGAGCCATCTGTCCAAAATCTGATACAATTCTAATATTATAATAGAGACAGAATAAAATCACCTTCAAAATCCTTCCTAGATGCATAGTTGTACATATTTTTTCTGAACATAAGCACCTACTGCTTTCTCACTAGAAAATGGTAAACACTGGAAACTTAGAAAAATGAAAATGCATGAAGCTGTATTTTTCTGTCCTGAGATTTATAAAAATCCTTTTGTGGCACACTTAACCCTAAAAATGCTATTATTGAGTACCTTAACTATCAATCTCTCTTACGAACAAAAAATATTATATAGTCTTCAGTAAGGCTCCTGGGTCTTACAGAGAACAAGAAAATTAACAAAAAACTAAAGATCTGGATTCGAATGTGGCTCGGCTGTGAAACAGTTTTTCTAACTCTGATTAGGTCACTTAACCTTTCAGAGGTCAAAGCTTATTTTTCCATATGTAGATACTAATATCTCCTAGCTTTGGAAGGTAAAATATACAAGCTGTCACATAATTAGGGAGAAAGCAAACCTTGGGCTAAATATTAACATTACTGAGAGCTTTAAATGGTGATGAAGTAATTTTTAAACTTGTAAAAAGAACTTATAGTTACAAAAAAGTTTAAAAACATTAATCTAATACAGGTTCAAGATATATAATAGAATCACTAATATACCTAACCCTCTAAATCCTGTCTAAATATCCAAAATAATATTAACTATCCTCTACTTTCAGAAACTTATTATATGCTTTTCAAAACATATGATTTGAAGAAAAATAATCCAGAATTAAAATACCAAGGCTGGTGTATGGCTCAACCCTATGGTAGAGTACTGGCCTAGCAAGTGTGAAGCCCTAAGTTCTAACCCCAATTTAGAAAACAAAAAAACAACAGCTCTACCACCGATCATCTTAAATCACTGCAGTAATAGCTATTTGTTCTGTTTGACCCTAGCAATCCTTCTTCAGGACACTGCTCCTCTCTTTTTCCCTCACCTAATGGTTTTCTGCCAATATGGTTCAAACAGAAGATGCCACCTTTTTGTAGCTGCTATCTCTCTGAGCAAGAATTGCCTGGGGACTGGCTCCTGATCCAGGCTTAATCAATCATAGTACCTCATCTCACAATCACACTGATTAACTGTGGATGTACCTATGACCACAGACAAGGCAGTCAGAATCTTTATGATGCCTTTATTTGAAATTAATAAAAAAGTACTATTACAAATGATATACATTACTACTACTACTGCTACTGTTGCTACTACCAATGATAACAACAACAATAATACAGAAGCTAGCATTTATTCAGCATCTTCTGCATGACTGGTATTAGATGATAAGCACATTACATTAATTATCTCATTCATTCTTATAGAAAATCACTTCAATGAAATGAAGACAAGCAAATGTAAGTTCAAGTGCTGTTGGCAGTTGTTGTCCCTACTTAAACAATAATAAAATTTTTCACATAAAGAAGCTAAGGTGAAAGGCAGGGTCAGAGGAAGTCTTATCAAGACTTAAACCCTAGTTCCTGACACCTCTTGTGATAGTTAATTTTGTGAAGCCACAGTATATAGATATGTGGACAAACTACAGCCTTGATATTGTTATGAAGGTATTTTTTTGGCGTGATTAACAATCAAATCAGTAGACTCTGAGTAAAGCAGATTATCCTCTATAATGTAGGTGAACCAAAACCAATCACAGGAAGGCTGAAAAAAGGTAGGAGAAAGGTCCCTTTATAGGGTATTCTGTCTCCAGACTTAATCAACTCTTCTTTGAGTCTACAGCCTCCTCA